GTGGATATAATTCTACGGTATTTAGAATTAGCTCTCAACTAAAATTAAATGGAGAAAATATTACCGACTTAGGTACATTAGAAAAAATATTATTTGTTGTTCATATCTCGAATATGCTTATACGAGTAGCAATATCAAGAAAAAGGTTTTTAATAAATACTCTAAATTGATTTTATGTTTACTTATGGCTGAATAAAATAACGAGCTACCGATAAAAAATCATGAATCCCATCCAACTAGGGCTACTCCATTCCTTGAAGTGAATGTGAAATCTTATAATAATATTAGGCATGGACGAAAACGTGGTCGTGGCTTTAGATGTGGAAGTGGTCGTGGCAATATCTATAGTTGTGGTCGGAATAATTATTATTATAATCATGATGGGCATAATAATATATCTCGCCATCGAAGTGGATAAATTATGAGAAGAAACAATAAAAGAATAAAAATAGATTAAGCTAGAATTTCAAAAATGAATGTTATAAATGTGATGTGAAGGGACATTAGTTGCGTATCCGTTGTACGCCAAAATACCTCGTTGAGCTTTATCAAGCCTCGTTAAAAAAGTAAGAAAGTAATATAAAGGCTAATTTTACATATCAAAATAATGATAGTGATAATGTTCCTATTAAAGATTTCATTAATTTGACACGTTTAGATGTTGTTGATTTTTTTTTAAAGATTCCGGAAGAAAATATCATTAGATTAATGATAATCATTGAAATTAATATCTTGTTACCTTTTTTATTGATAAATAAATAAGTTTTATGTTTTCTTATAATTTCTATTGTATCGTGATAGTTACAATTTTTTTAGATATTTATTGATTTTGTGTTTATGACTTAGGTACGCTAGAGAAAATATTATCTACTTTCTATGCCTCAAATATGCTTCTACAGGTAGCAATATCAAGAAAAAGGTTTTTAATAAATACTCTAAATTGATTTCATGTCTACTTGTGATTGAATGAAATAATGAGCTATTGATAAAAAATCATGAATCCCATCCAACTAGGGCTACACCATTCCCCGAAGTGAATGTGATATCTTATAATAATATTGGGCATGGACAAGGACGTGGTCGTGGCTATAGATGTGGAAGTGGTAGTAGTGATATCTATAGTCGTGGTCAAAATAATAATTATTATAATTATGATGGTCATAATAATATACATCACCATCGAAGTGGATAAATTATGAAAAGAAAAAAGAAAACAATAAAAGTAGATTAAGCTATCATTTCGAAAATAAATGTTATAGATATGATATAAAAAGACATTGGTCTCGCATCCGTTTTATACCAAAACACCTCGTTGAGTTTTATCAAGTCTCGTTGAAAAAGAAAGAAAGTAATATAAAATCTAATTTTATATATTAAAATAATGATAGTGATAATGTTCCTCTAATAGGTTTCGGTAATTTGACATGTTTAGATGTTTTTTTTTTAAAGATTCGAATGAAAAGATCACTAGATTAATGATAATCATTGAAATTAATATCTTGCTACCTTTTTTATTGATAAATAAATAATTTTTATGTTTTCTTATAATTTATATTGCATTGTGATAGTTATAATTTTTTATATATATTTATTTATGTTGTGTTTATGAATAACATATGGATACTACCAAGTTCATAATTGGTTTGAAGTAGATTAAGCCGACATTTTGAAAATAAATGTTATAAATGTGGTATGAAGGGACATTAGTCACATATCCGTTGTATGCCAAAACACATCGTTAAACTTCATCAAGCCTTGTTGAGAAAGAAAGAAAGTAATATAAAGGCTAATTTTATATATGAAAGTAATGATAGTGATAATGTTCCTTTTAAAGGTTTCGGTAATTTGACACATTTAGATGTTGTTGATATTTTAAAAGATTTTGAAAGAAAAGATCATTAGATTAATGATAATCATTGAAATTAATATCTTGCCACCTTTTTTATTGATAAATAAATAAATTTTATGTTTTTTTATAATTTCTATTACATCGTGATAGTTATATTTTTTTATATATATTTATTTATTTTGTGTTTATGATAAACATATGGATACTACCAAGTTCATAATTAATTTGGACATTATAGAGGAGAATCTATGCCTTGTATATAATGCAACAACATATGCTAGACTTAAAAATAAAAGGTATTTCTCTAATTTAATGATGGATAAGGCTAATGTTAACACTATATCCGGTAGTTTCAATTTAATTGAAGACTCGAAAGAGCAAATATATTTTTATATAAAGGGACGCATTTGATTATAAATAATGCATTATTCTCTCCTAAGTCCCATAAAAATTTGTTGAGTTTCAAAGATATTCGTCTAAATGGATATCATATTGAGACAATAAATGTTAAAAATATTAAATACTTATATATTACAAAAATTACATCGGGTAGAAAATATGTATTGAAGAAATTATCTACTTTCTCTTCGACATTTATTACATAAATATTCAAATGATTGAGACAAATACCATAGTAAATAAGAAGTTTACTAATTCTTTTATTTTATGGCATGACCGGTTGGGCTATCTTAGATTCATTACGATACAAAAAATTATTAAAAATTCATATGAACATCCATTAAAGAACTAAAAGATTCTTCAATCTAATAAGTTTTCATGTCCTTCATGCTCTCGAGGCAAGCTTATTATTAAGCCATAACTAAATAAAGCTGAGATTGACTCTCTAGTATTTTAGAATGTCTTAAAAGTAATATATGTGGACCAATTCATCCTCCATGTGGATCGTTTAGATATTTTATGATTTTAATATATGCATCCGGAAGATGATCATATATATATTTATTATCAACTCAAAACCTAGCATTTTTGAGGTTATTAGCTCAAATAATTCGATTATGAGCATTGTTTCTAGATTATACCATTAAAACAATTCATGTTAACAATGCTGATGAATTTACCTCTCAAGCATTTACTACGAAGTGGCGAGGAGAGGAGCTCGTTGTCAAAATACGAGTAACGCTAGGATGCATAAGTTTTGATGGTGTACACTCTCTATTTTTTCTTCCTTCGACGACATCCAAATATAATTTGAACATGTCAATATCTAGAGATAATAAATCACCCTCCTGTCACTCTTTAATTTTTGCTTGCTTGTATTAATCGCACACGCTTCTATATCATTGAAATAATAATAACATTAAATCATAAATATATATTTTTAGATTGATTTTTATATATTTAAAAAATATAATTGTTTCAGAATTTTTAGTGATAGACTAGAACTATATAATAATTTCTTTTTTATCATTTGACTTAACTCTTTATGTAGTATGTTTTTATGTATATATTATATATAGTAATAATAATACTCTTTTTATTCCAAAGTGATCATTTTATTTAACTTTTCACATAATTTAAAAAAAAATTAATTGTACTGCTATACCTGTATTTTTTTAACAATATTTTTTCTAAAAAAACTTTTTTTTGTTTTTTAAAAAAATCTATCCAATGTAATTCTACATTACAAAATAAGAGTATTTTATAAAAATATAGTATTAAAAACTTTAACCAGATAAATATTTTGAAACAAGTATAATATTTTGAAACAAGTATAAATTAAAAAGAAGACAATTAATTTTATTTTTTTAAGACAGAAAAAGCAACAATAATATCATGTTTTAAGGCAAAGCCAACTGGGAGGAAATGTGTTGAACCTTGTACGCTCCCGAAAGAGACGGTAAAAGGCAAGAGTGGTAACCTTTACGAGGCTCTTTGGCTCTCCTTCCAGTAGGCAAATCACTTAGATGACCAAAACAACCTTATCAACAATGCTATATTAATTTTCTTTCTCTTCTCGAGTAGGGTTAGGATTGTCTCTTTCTTCACATGGGAGCAGACACATTTTTTAGTAAAAAAGATGAGTGGTTGGCCACAGACAAATTTGGAGTTCCCGACCACCTGAGAGTCAAAGAAGCGATGCGTTCGCCGACTGCAACGCGGTCGTTCACATAGCCCATGCATTTCAATTTACTAGACACATTTCTTATTATTTATTTAATGCTATACTGCTACTTAAATCTATATATAATTATTCCTCATGAATTATATACATGTAGTACGTTCTGAGCTTGCTTCTTCTTCACGCATTTAATCACCATCCCCATAAATATGAATTTTTTTTTTTTTTTTTTTTTTTTTTGCGGTTATCATTTAATATCTAATATTTATAGGAGTAGATTTTCAACATGCCAGTTGCCACATATGTACTAATATAATGCCAAAAAAAAAAAAAAATTGTTTGCAAAATATTTTAGGACACACCTTTTTCGATTATAAGCAAACATCCTCTCTCTCTCTCTCTCATTGCAATGCTAGCTAGCTATAGTTATAGCAACGAGCAAGTGATTCTCTGTTTCACACACGCATATGTATAAGTGATCTACATATCTCTTTTTTGTTTTGTTTTGTTTTTTTTTTTGAACTATATTGCTTAAATATCAAATCTGATCTTAAGAACAGGAAAAAGAGCTCAGGTGTCCCTGTGTAGTCAAGAAGTAGGAGATGCAAGGGGAGAAATAGTTATAAATTCATAGTTCACATAAAGATATATAACATTAATTCGCTTTGAAAATGGAAAAGAAAAAGAAAAGTTAAAATCACATCTTTAAGACACGTACCTCACCTTCCTGACATTTGAGCTCTCTCTAATTCATTTATTATATTTTCACCAAAACCTTAACATACACAACAACTCGAACTCACACAATCACCCCATTCTCCAACCAATAGCTTCACACCTCCCTCTCTCTTTCTCTTAATTTCTTTCTCAACCCTTCAAAGACACCAAACTCTTTTCAGTCTACTTATTACTACTAATTAACACACGCACACGCACACGCACACGCACACACTCTCTCTCTCTTACATAAATCCCCATCAAGGACCCAACCCTTTTCAGTTTGTTAGCAATATCCCTTCTAAATATAACAAGAACTTTTCCATAATTTCCCATCCAAAAAGAGAAAAAAAAATGAACATGAACGGTTTTGATTCTCAACAAAGGCAAGAATCCTTGAAAAGAAGATGGCAAGAGATTAGAAGATCAGTCCCAAACATGAGCCTGTACGGTAGACCAACTTCTTCTTTACCCAACTTCATGGCTAAGCCTATAACCTTCCCTGGCTTTGAAGATGATGATCTTGTTTCTACCATGATCCCTCCGGTGACAGTTGTCCTGGAGGGGCGTTCGATCTGCCAGAGAATTAGCCTTCATAAGCATGCAAGCTATCATAGCCTTGCTAAGGCTCTAAGGCAGATGTTTGTTGACGGAGGAAGCGATTCAGGAGTGACCACACCATCAGCATCAGAGAGTGTTGGTGATCATGATCTTGATCTCACAAATGCTGTTCCTGGTCACCTCATTGCCTATGAAGACATTGAAAATGATCTCCTTCTTGCCGGTGACCTTAACTGGAAGTACGTATAAGTTATCCTTTTGACTTGTTGTGTATATGTGCGTGTCTTTTATTTACGAATTAGTACTAGCTCCATTTATCTTTCATTTCATTTCTATGCTGGTAAATAATATATTTTTACTTTTGATATGACAATTAATATGTTAATAAATTGATTACTATATGAATGTATATTTTCATATAACAATCAACAAATTAACATACAAATATGTTAAATTAGCATAAATATGCTGATATAACAATTAATGTGTAAATCTATTGATTGTCACGTCAATATTTGTGTCAACATTCTATATATATATATATATATATATATATATATATATATATATATATATATATATATTGCATGTGAAATTGTAGTATAGAATGGTGTTCTTTCTTATTCTTTTGATAAATTATTAATTATGCATGTAATGTAAATGGTAATATATAATATCGCCGGCTCTTAATTTTTCTCTCTCGGTGTGAATAGAGATTTTGTACGGGTGGCCAAGAGGATTAGGATCCTGCCAGCGAAGGGGAATTCAATGAAGGGAACAGGAGGGGCGGCCTAGGGGTTGGGTTGCCATTGTTTGGCTGTGTTATGATATTAATTTGTATTGATAAAAGATGTAAGAAGTCAAGGAAGTTATACAGTTTAATACTAAAAAAAAAGATAAAAAAAGGTTCTATGTTATATTAAAAAAGTATGGTAGCCTGCTAGATTTCTTGGGAAGGATAAAACGGTTTTTGCATGTCCAAATTAACTCGTTTCCTTCTTTGAATAAAAGAACTTTAATTTCCCTATTTCGGTCATTCATGAATATTATTGTTCTAGTTCTAGGTGCTGTCTAAACCTCGCTTTGTTTTATATGAAAATGTCAAATTTACCTTCATAATCTAATTAATTAGTTGGACTATCTATTCAGAAACTAATTAATAAAATGTAACCTAACCAGATGAACCAAAAAAGTATCAAATCGTTTCATGTATAGATTACTTGTGATCTAGGGAGACTATCTTTAGTTTAATTTAATTAATTAACAGAAAAGGCAACAGGTTTTTTTTCTCTCTCTTGGATAAATGATGATGGCTTCTTTTCTTTCATGAGTGTGACTTGTATAAGCTGACAAATTTTAAAATAGGTTTGCAGCCGTGAAAATTTAACAATATGACAAATCTAAAAAAAAACCTATAAAACACAAGACAGAGTATGAGCTAATACTCAATAAGTCTAATCATGTGTGAATGTAATAAAGTACATTTTGTGATCATAAAAAATATTTCTTATGATCAAGCACACCTTGCCGAATGTGTGTATATTCAGCCCCACATGAAAATCACGACTGAAAACCATAAAAAGTACTAGGCATGTTCCATTCCCGTGAAGCTCATAAAGAGCCATTCTTGCAAATTCCTGTGAGGCCCGTGAAGCTCACAAGAGTTGATCATTCTCTTGTAAGTTGAAGCCATGATTAGACATACCAAGAATATACACCAGATCATTCCTTTAGAACCCTATCTTCGAATATGTCTAGCCATGAGTCTTTATTGAAAACCATGCCATGTCTTTTTTTTGAATGCATAAAACATGATAAAACCATTTCATGGCGTGAACGCAATCTAAATGCATGACCGCACATAAATATAAACAAAGCATTATTAAGCATATCTTAACATAAACTTATAATCAACTATCCTTAAACATATTCATGAAGTCGAATTCATCAACATCATAAATATTCATTCATTAATCAAACAAGTGTCCTCGGGCATGGTCATAGGCCGAGTCATCCACAAAATGTATTCAATCATCAAATAGCATCAAGTAATCATCTTATTAACATATGAACATATTTATCATGTTAACTCAAACAATCTTATAACATCAAATCATCAAGTAATCATAGGCACACAACTACATCAATTTGTAAACATAACGAGTCCCTATGAAACCTACGTCTTATGATGCGATGGATTACACTTACCTTAGGTTTTGATCGGTTCCCAAGCTCTCAAAGATTTCCCCTTTCTCGACCAATGCTACCCAAATCTCCTTCTCTCTCTCCACATTCCATCTTTTTTCCTCTCGGCCAAACTTTGGTTTTCTTTAGACATTTTGATTTTCCTCATTTCTTTTCTCTCATGTTGTTTTTATCCTTTTTATCAAAAATAACCTAACACCCCCCTCTTCTTTTTACATGCCTTTTTGTTGACCTAGAAAGGACCTAGAACTTTCCCTATTGTTCTTCCTCTTTTGCCGACTTAGAAGCTTCTAGGAAACTCAAGATGTTTTTTTTTTCTCTTTTCTTCCTCTTTGGGTGATTTTAGGAAGGTTCTAGGAAGTTGAATTTGTCATATGTATTATGGAATACATATGCTTAGCTATTATGGATGGAACACTTAAGTTATTAACTATAGAAAGTATGAAATTTTTAAGAATTTTTTAGAAGTTTCTAGAGTAATCTAGACTAAAACTTGTTTAGGATACTAATTAAGCTTTGTTTTTAAGTTAACATGAGTATGGGACACTTGATTAAGTTATATTTCTAAGTTAAATTTGAAAAACATTACAAATTAGTCCTTTTACTTTGTTACTTAGTCCACTTTGTATTATTCGATAAAATATATTGAAACAATCATTTGTCTCTAATAAATAGAAGAGTCGTTGGCCCAACATTACAACCAAACAAAATCCATCCATTAAAATAAAATTTACAACCTAAATATTTTTTTATATTTTTTTAACAAACCTAAATTAAATATTTACGAAACAATAACATAATAGTTAAATAGAGTTAAAGAAACAAACCAAATGGTCCCTAAAAAGTGACCAAAATACCCTATGGATATTGCTAAAAATGACCAAAAATGCCCTCGTAAAATGATAGAATTGCCCCAGTGTCAAACCCGATCGAATTGCCCTTAATAAGCCCAGCTGCTACCAACCACCATCCGACCTCCTTCAAGTGCATCAATGAGTCTAAAGGCTAGAGAAGGTCTTCCTCTACCGTTCAACGATAGAGGTAATCATCCTCATTCATGGAGGAGGGAGATCGACACCGGTGAAGTTTCGACCTTCTCTCCTTCTTTTTGGATGTAGATTTCAATGAGGGTAATGGGTTTTAAGGCTCAAAATCTAGCCGGATATGTTCTAGGACCAGCTAAAATGTTTCTTTGGTTTTAAACAAGGTGATATGATCAAAAAACTATAATGGAGTCGGATTGAGGTAACAGGGTTAGCTTGATTTTCTCTTCCTTAATTTTATCATTTTAGATGAGTTTTCATCATGATTTCAAAGGGGAACAACTCCTATGAGGGTGAGGAATATTTCTCTTATAGTAGGGGTTATTGGTTTGGCTAGAAAATAGTGATCTTTGTGATTCAAAATCGGAATGGATCGTCGACCTTCTCTTTCGATTTCTAGCCATCTTCGGCATCTCCTTCCTCCCAAATTTATTAGAAACGATGGATCTAGGGCTAGACTACATATTGGTGTTGGTAGATAGAAGCAATTTTGACTCGAGGATGGTCAATTTGAGAGAGAAACCTTGGCGAGCCTATAGGTTAACCCGTAGGTGATCGAGTCCTTAAAGAACTCTTTGACGGCTTTATTAAGGGATGAATAGTAAGTTTTTTCTTCAAATCCATGACCTCCCTCCAAATCACCGAAGATGGTTCGATATTTATAAGGAAAATAATTAGTTTTTTATTGAAAAAAATTTTAGTCCCTCACTTGTCTACCTCTTTCAATTTTAGTGTACATTACTTTATTTTTTTTGCCAAACATGTCCTTAATGAAAATTGTTTGGTCTTCATTCTCTTGATTTTTTTTTAGTTAGACCCCGAATCATTTTTCTCTCTTTTTTGTTTATTTTTTCTTTTGTTTATTTAATTAAAATTAAGGGATAATCCTAAGAAATTAAAATCGTAAAAATTTATAAAAATATCTAAAAATCATGAAAATTAATTAACTATGCAAAGTGTAATTTTGTTTTTTGAGTTTTTCAATTTTGTATAAAAATAAAAATAATGATGGGGTCAAAATGGGTTATGATAGTTTCTCCCTCTTTACAATGCTTATGATGCAAAGTCATTAAAAATATCAAATAAAGAGACTTTTTTCAATGCTTTGCATAATAAGCTTATAAAGAATTTTTTTTTTTTTTTGAATTGTAAGATTGACCTAGATGTTTCAAGTGACCTTCCCTAATAATAAAATGATGGTCTCGGTTGTCATGGGTTATTAACCTTGAAAATAAAAAATGCAAGTGGTCTTATTCTCGAGGACGAACTACCTTAGAAAAAAATATAATGACCTTATTCTAAAGGATGGTTTGTCCTAAAATAAATGGTCTATTAGAAGGCGGCCTTGCCTAAAATGAATCTTCTATTACCGGGTGACCCTACCTAAGATAAATGATCTATTGTGAGAAGACCCTACCTAGAATGATGGTCTACTATGAGGCGATCCCGCTCGGAATGATGATCTATTATTAGGCGACCTTGAAAATGAGAAATGATCACCGTGCAAATCTACCTAAAATCATAAACTAAATTAGGCAATCTTACCCTAAAATAAAAAATGATCATTAGGCAACCATGCTTAAAACGGTGATCTAAATTAGGCAACTCTTCCTAAAGATAAAAAGTGATCATTAGGCAACCTTACCTAAAATGACAAACTAAATTATGCAACTCTACCAAAAAATTAGAAGTGATCATTAACTAACCCCGCCTAAAATGATGAACTAAATTGGGTAACTCTATCTAAAATGAGAAATGATCTTTAGGCAACCCTACCTAAAGCAATGAACTCAATTAGGCAACCCTACCCGAAAATAAGAAATGAATCACTTGGTAACCCTCCCTAAAACAACGAACTAAATTAGACAACTTTACCTAAAACGAGAAATGATCACTAGGTAACTCGCCTAAAATAATAAACTAAATTTGGCAACTTTACCTAAAATGAGAAATGATTCCTACGTATCTCTTTTGAAAATGATGAACTAAATTAGGTAATTTTGCTTAAAATGAAAGATGATCGCTAGGTAACCTTGCCTACAATGATGAACTAAATTAGGCAATCTTGCTCGAAAATGAGAAATCACCACTAGACAATCCTACCTAAAAGAATGAACTAAATTAGACAACTCTTCTTGAAAATGAGAATTGATCGTTAGGCAACATTGTCTAAAATGATAAATTAAATTAGGCAATCCTACTTAAAAATTAGAATTAATTGCTAGGCAACTCTATCTAAAATGATGAACTAAATTAGACAACCCTAACTAAAATAATGCACTAGGTAGCGATGCCCGAAATGAATGAATTAAATTAGGCAAGTAATGTCCGAAATGAAAATTATCGTTAGGTAATCTTTCTTAAGTGAATAGCTAGGTAGCAATGCCAAAAATGAATGAATTAAATTAGATGATAATACCTAAAATAAAAATTATCATTAGGCAATCTTGACTAAAGCCATGACTAGGTAACAATACCTAAAATAAATGGATTAAATTAGGCAATAATACCTTAGATAAAAATTACCATTAAGAAATCTTACCTAAA